TATATATATATATATATAGGGTTAACGACTGCAATTAGTTTCGATCGACGGACCTGTTTTATATTTTGCCCTTGAACCCCGTAGGCAGAATTTTAAGAGTGAAATTCAAAAATAGCTAGATTTACAGTTCGGAACTGAAAAATAGCCACAATTTAACCACTTCTCATGTAAAGATAAAATCTGAACAAAAACATTGTTAAAAATTCAAAAATATTCCAGCATTATATGCTAGAGTTCGATTTTTTTTTTTTTACATATATGCTGGAAGTTTATATGCATGAGATCCATAATCTCGCATACTATGCTGGAACTTTCCGTGTCCTGGAGTTCCAACATAATATGCTTGTAGTTTATACGCAGTAGCTCCATAATCTCGCATATTATGCTGGAACTTTTCGTGTTTCAGTAAAACATTGGCTATTTTTTAATGATTTTGCGAACACTGTCTATTTTTCGATTATAAGTCTGAAAAATTACTTGCTCAGGCTATTTTGACGAATTTTAAATTTAATAAGTATTGTTTCTTGATTGTCGTAAAAAATAATTTTAACTTTTAACCTTGAAGTTCTAGCCAAACGGATAAAAGTGTCATATTATTGGTAAGTCCATCTCAACCGACAGCCCAATTGGCACGAAAATATAACCCCATTCCCACGTGGATATTAAAAAGGTACGTGCCAGCACAAGATAACTTACCATGCACCCTCTCCCTTTCACAAATGGAACAAACAAACATGAGGTAGCAGCTGTTATAAGAAAGCTATACATTAGCTTCCAATTACAGTTTTCAAAGCACTTTCAACCCCTCACGCCTCCTCCTTCCGCCGCTCGTAGTCGCCGTCCGATCCCCGGAGATTCATCGATTCACACAAGGAAACGAAAGGACCGAATGACTATTGAGTTATAGAGAGAGAGAGAGAGAGAGAGAGCGAAGAGAGAGAAGACGCAGAGTCACGTGGAAAACGGTGTCGTGTTAAGATGGGGAAGAAGCGGAAGTCATTGGCATCGAAGCTGGATGAGGTGGATCGAAGCATGTATTCGACGTTTTGTAGCGGAGCGAATTCGCTTTCACAGCTTTATACTCAGGCTATGAACCAACAGAAGCTTTCCTTTCAGGCGGGTGAACGCCACGGCTTGGTATTTATTTCCTTATTTTCAATTAATTGTTTATTGTTAAATATCTGTTTTTGTTTTTGTTTTTATAGCCATTTACATTTACGGTTGATTAATTAAGTAAAAGCACAAGTAGCAAAGACTTGTTTGGTAAATGCTGATATTAAGAATTTGTTTTTTTTTTTTTTGTGTATTTTTGAGGCTTGAAATTTTAATGTAGAGAATTTAGACATTTTAATTTTTTTTATACGGTAAACCTCAATACCAAACCCTATCCACATATCCTCCGTTGTATACTTAACTCTGAACCAGAGCCCCAGGGCACCTCAGTTGTCGAGAAATGTACATTTCAGTTAACTACAATAACGTTGTTTGGATATACCATTAAAAAGTGAATAATAACCTAGGAGGGACTCGGTTTCTCTTCATTCTGGTGTTTAAAAGAAGTGAACTGGTTTGTATCTGGGATGGTTCAGCTCTAAATGTTTTGTTTTGAATGCTTCCTAATATGTGGAGAGCCTTATGAATGGTATGAATGATGAGGCCAACTTATTTGCGTAGTTTGTTTTCAGTGCCTCTGCTCTTCTTAGTGGGAGCTTGATTGCTGTTTGCAGTTGTTGGATCAGTATGGTTAACTGGATAAGCTCAACTAGACAACTATCATGTAAAAGTCTTGCACTAATAGCCTCGTTTCTCGATGATAACTAATGACTTTCGGTTGCATTTTTTTGGACAATAATAGGAAGCAAAGGCAGAAATTTTAGGTAATAAGGAAAAGAAAG